AGAAAAAAAATGAATCCTACTTTGTGGGACTGTTAAATGGGTATATCATGTCATGAATCTTAAAGGTGAGATGGTACAAAGCACTTTGAACATATAAACTGTGTGTGTGTGTGTGTGTATTCTGAAAATACAACTAAGTGTATTGAACTATTCTTTGAAATTAGAGAATACTGCTGAGTGAAAGAGAAATGTTTCTGAGAACAATGATGAGATGTAAAGAACAATGATTTTGTATGAAATGTGGACAGTTCCAGGTTTGTTACATGCCATCGAGTCAGAAAAGATTCATAGCTGACCCTTCAGCAGGTTTTCAAAGGCTGTATCTCACAAGGGGGTAGACTATCTTCTCCCAGAGCAGCTGGTGGAGCCAAACCACCTACCTGTGGGTTGGTTGCATAACTCCTTACTTCTGTTACGTGCCAGTCTCATAGCTGACCCTTCAGCGGGTTTTCAGAGACTGAAAATCACAAAGGAGATTGTCTTTCTCCCAAGGAGCAACTGGTGGATCCAAACCACCTGCCTTAAGGTTGAGAGTGGAATTCCTTACCCACTAGGCCACCAAAACTCCCAGTCCCATGTTGTTTAGGTGCCATCGAGTAGGGCTCATAGCAGATCTGAACTATTCTGTGCCAATCTCATCATCTGACATATTTGAGCCCATTGCTGTAGTCACTGTGTCAATCCATCTCTTTGAGGGTCATCTTCTTTCACTAGCCCTCCACCTTTCCAAACATGAAATCCCCTTTTAAGGAAGGGCCTGTCCTAACAACATGTTCCAAATATGTGAGATGAAGCTTTGCATCTTGCCTCAAACATCAAAGATGTTTGTTCTTTTGTCAGTCCATGGGATAGTCAGTACTCTTCTCCAACACTACAACTCAAAGGCATCAATTGTTCTGTCATCCTTATTCATTGGCCAGTTCTCAGATGCATAGCAAATGACTGAAGACCATGGCCTGAATCAGGTGCACCTTAAGTCTTTACAATGGCATTACTGCTCCTAAGTACTTTTGGAAAGAGAAGTGCTGTTAGTCAAGAGGTTAAGGATTCCAACCTGAAAGCACAGTTCCAATTCACCAGCTACTCTGTGGAAAAATGGGCAAACTCCTCTAGTGTGATTTACTGCCTTTGAATAACTGTTGGAGGGTCAAGTATGAGTTTGCTCCAACTTGACAGACAGTAACAAACCAGTCTCAGTGATCTTAAAATGATGAGAGTCCAGCAAAAAGGCTTTGCTGCTGTTTGCTGACATTTATGTTGAGGATCGTTATTTCATTAGGAATCATACTGTACTTGTATAACTGGCTTGAATTTTCGCCAATTTTCTCTCATGATGCTTATTACTAAATGAATACCTGTGGTTTTCCACATATATACTGAGAAAAAGATTAACACAAACTCACATACTCCACGCATGTTTTTACTGTAGTTTTTTTTACATGGAACTGATATTGCTTGCTGACATTAAGATTATACCCTATTTGCCAAAATCCTTCAATGGCTTTTTATTTACCATGCTAAAGATAAAGCCTAATCCTTAACATAAAGGCATAAAATGCACTTAATGATTTGTTTCCACTATCTCCTGCTTCATCAGTTAAAAAAAAAAGGTAAGGTTCTCACTTTAAAAACTAAAGCATATGTGACCCAACTTATGGCATTTCTAATCAGCTCACACATTTGTGAACATTAGAAAATTAGGCCAAAGAATTGATGCCTCTAAACTACGGCATTGCTAGGGTCAGTTGGGTTCCAACTCAAAGGCACACAGAAAAACCCAAAAAATGACGGTGTTGGTGAAGAATATTGACTATTATTGGCTTCTAGGAAAATGAACAAATCAATCTTGGAAGAAGTTAAGGCCACAGACTGCTCCTTAGAAGCAAAAATGGTGAGACTTAAGGTTCACATACTTTGGACATGTTAACAGGAGGGATTAGTCCCTGAAGAATGACATTATTCTTGGTAGAGGGTCAGAGAAAAAGGAAGACTCAATGGGATAAACTGACATTGACTTCAATGGGCTGAAATCCAGTAGTGACTGTGAGGACCAGGCAGACCGCTGCTGTACATGTGGCCACTGAGTTAGAACAGATGCAACTGCCCCTAACAAGAGTGCCCCTCTGCACTCAGTGACACACCCACACTCTAGGTCTTTCAGGACCTCCACTGCACCTACCCAGGATACCCTGGTCCATTTTCCTTATTTTTTTCTCCTGGTCCACTTTAGACATTATTTCCTCCCACATCCTTCCTTGAACCAACCTCTCAAATCTGGATTAGACTCTCTTAATACTTTCTACTTTCCTCATTATAGAACTTCTCATGTAATTTGAATACTTAATCTGTTTCATCAGACCACGCTCTGGGAAACAATAGTTTTGTTCATGGATACTCCTCTAGCATTAAGTGTAGCTTGGAATTTAGGAGATGTACAGTAAGTATCTTACTATACTGAAATGGCTAACACCTGGTACATGTAAGTTCAATCAGAGAAAAAGAACTTATAGTTTTCGGAGAGGACACAGGATTGTTCTTAAGTGCCAACGACCAGGACTCATCAAGACTTCTGAACAACTTCTAAACCTGGCTTATCAAGAGGGCAAAGAAGAGACAAACCTAATGAATCAAGCAGCCATTTCAAAGAGCCCACTACTATTTTAAACTCCTAAGAAAATTCCGTACATGCACTATTAGCCAAAGAAGAGATGCAAGGTGTGTTGTACAACTGAGGAGGAGGAAGTAGCAGTGAAGTGAGGAGTAAATGTTTATTTTGAGGACTTTCTGCTGTGATCACATGCTTAGGGGAAAAAAACCAAAACACACTATATATCACGGATCAATTAGATTACTAGTGCTAGCTTTTAAAGGTTATCTGGCCTTTAAATTTTTTTTGGTTGATTTTAGTACTCACATATTTTAATGTAGAGGCTCACAGAACATCATTATTATAGGAGCTACCACGTTCTCTTTTGCTATAAATTTTAAGTTACCCTACACTTAAAAAGGAGGTAGTTTCAGTTTCTGACCACCTGTGTTTACTATAGGTATGACTTCATCTTTCAGAACAGCAGTGGTTTCTGTCATAAGATTTTCTTACCTGCCCCTATTAGACTAAAGCAGCAGTATTATCTAAAAACTGTGGATACATTTGAGATTAAAGGACTAAAGGTTCAATATTATCACCATCACCATAATGTTTTTATAATAAATATGCAATAATCTTTCAGTTATCATGAGCTAGCACTGCTGGCATTGCTTTGGCTGAGTTTTAACTGGCTTGCGAACAACCGAATCACAAAATGGACAAAAGAGATGAAAAAAAAAGCTTCACCAAAGAATGCCAGATGGCCAGCAAACACATGGAAAATAGTCAAAATGGCAAGCTATTAGAGATGCAACTGAAAACAATGAGATATCTCATGCCATCAACAACAGCAAAGTTCAACAAGGCAGCAAACTAATGCTAGGGAGGATGCAGAGAGGGTGCCCATTAACAACTGAATGGACAGAGAAACTAGTATACATTCATAATGGAATACTATGCAGCACTGAAAAAACACTGAACTTACTCAGTGTGTATACATCTGGAAGACAGTGTTGTTGTTATGTGCCGTCGAGTCTCCTGCAACTCATAGCGACCCTATGTACAACAGCCCTAAACTCCGCTCTGTCCTGTGCCAATCGCACTGTCTCTGGCACTCCCATCCCAATTATCCCAGTCACTGAATCAATCCACCTCATAGAGGGCCTTCCCCTCCTGCGCTGTCCCTCTCCAAGGACCGGTCTCTCCTCACAACATGTCCAAAGTATGTTAGATGGAGCCTCAGAATCCTTGCCTCCAAGGAGCCACCCGGTTTAACCCTTTCCAGGACAAATCTGTTTGTTTTCCTAGCAGTCCATGGTATTCTCAATACTCATCTCCAGCACCACAGCTCAAAGGCATCAATTCTCCTTCTATCCTCCTTGGTCATTGTCCAACTCTCTGATGTATAACAAGTGATTGCAAAGACCACAGCCTGTATCAGATGCACCTTAGTCTCCAGAGAGACACCACTGCTCTTCAGCACTTTGGAGAGGTCCCTAACAGCAGACTTTCCCATGGCAATGCGCCTTTTAATTTCCTGGCTGCTGGTGCCAAGACTGTTGACTATGGAGCCAAGCAAACTAAAGCTGTGTACAATCTCAATCTCTTCACCATCCATCCTGATGCTGCCAATTGGTCCAGTGGTGAGAATTTTTGTCTTCTTGACATTGAGCCTCAATCCATAGTATGTTGAATAAAATATCTTAGTCAAAAGGGACAAATACTGCATAAGCTCAGTACTGTAATAATAGGATTGAGATAGGGTGGGGTGGCGGAGTAGAAGAGAATGGCTAGATAATGAACACTGGAGTGGAACTGATGAAAGGAAGGACAATTTGGAAGAAAAACACAATGAAAAATCATGTATATCATAATTAATATAGCCTTAAAAAAGGAACTGGGGAAAGGAGGGGAGAGGAAAGTGTGTATGAATGAAACCAATCTCTTTGTAAACCTTCACTTTAAAAAAAAACACAAAAACCCAACAAGAAAAACAGACGGAGCAGTTTCATTTTGCACACACAGACTTCCATGAGCCAGAACCGATTCAATGCAACTAACACTCTCTTTTGAGGGGAAATACTGCAAAATACACCAATATCTATAGATAGAACGTTTGTCAAAAGACTTTTTTTCGTGATTTTAGCAAACGGTCCAAATTCTATTACTGATATGATTTAAACTCCATCACTTTGGTACATGGTATTGCTATTACTTTTATTGTAGCAAATTCTACTTTTTGAAGGACCTTGCATCCTATTTTTCCTGGAAATAAAATTTAAATAATATAGACTCAAAGACAAGCATTTAGAGTTGCATTAATGTGTCAAAGCACAAAATATCCCAACTTACTGTTAGGAAAAACTGTGCCCTTCTACGTAGCATTAGAGAAAACAATGAATTTCATATTATCTATTTTATTGAGATATTAATCTTATCACACATGGTCCAAGAATAAACAAATAGTAAATGAAGTATAATCTGATGCATTCAAACATCATAGCCGATGATCCCACGCTTGCCTATGATCTCGCCGATATAAAACCACATGCACACTTCAGTGGCCACCAAAGTATTCAGCAGAGCTTCCTGGAAGAAAAAAAAAAAGAGCGTAAAATTCAAAACTACATATATTTTTCTTACATATAAAAATTATTCCTATCTAGGAGTAAGATGAAACAGAATCTAATGATATCCTTCAAACAAGAAAGCAGATTTAGTCAACATCAAGGATACTAATGTTAGTTTTGTTCACCTGCTAAGAATCTTTGAACTTTTAATTATGTATAACAAGTAGCCTAGAATGTATAAATTCTTTCAAAGTATTCTTTAAAGACTTGAACTGACTTAACTCTTTCATTATTAGTTTATTAAACACTCTATGAGCCCTGAAACAACACACATCATGGAAAACAGCTGACAAATTTAGACCAGTATTCGTATGATAAGACAGCTAAGGAAGGCAAACCCATGAAGTAACATTTCTGCCTGGCCAAAGAAAATTTGTTAAAAGATGAAGGGTTCTGTCTTTACTCTTAGATGCTATTTTTATTAATTTATGATCTGGCTCAACTCTTTCCAAGGATTCAGAAGATTACTCAGCTTCACAGTCCAGTGCTTTGTTGCTCTGAAGAGACAAAGTACAAATACAGCCCAGAAAGCAGTTTCACCCAAGCTAAATATGGATTTGATACTCCTGCTAAGAAACCAAACCAAACCAAACCAAACCAAACCAAACCAACAAAACCCAACCCAACCCAACCCAACAAAAGCAAGTATTAATTTTCTCCTTCAAATTAAGTATTACTGGAAGTTTTCTGGAAAAACAAAAAAAGTATCTTTTAAAGGACAGAGGTCCTAAAGGCAGCAAACATTTCGTTATCCTGGTTTTGTGTAACCTTTGTTTAGGCTAAGCAAGTAAATAAATATAAGACCCACAGTCTAATAGTTAAGGTCTTCATGTAAGAATAGAGATTTTATCTTCATGCAATTTTATTATCTCTTTTTATCATTTTATATGTTTGACCAGGTTTTGACTTTTTCCCTCCTTCCGTATGTGTTAGCTTCCTGAATTATGATAAAAGTCCAAAAGATCTTTGGCCAAATCAAGGTCATCCCAGGACTACAGATGAAAAACTACAGAACAAAAGTTAGCCACTCTATTTTAGTGGTATAGTCTGTAGGGAGTTGCACCAAAAAGTCACACTTCACTGGTGCTTTGAATCCACCAGCAGCTCAGGGGAAGAAAGAAATGTCCTCTCATGCAATTTATAGTCTTGGAAACACAATGGACGGTCAGCTACGATTCAACAGCAATGAGTTTGAATTTTCCAAGTTTGATCCAAAATAGTTAAGACTGGGGGAAATTTTCCTAGTAAAAAGATTTCATTTCTTTGGGATTATATGTCTACTAGGAAACTAAACCTGAGAGAAAACAGCCATTATTTCTACCCAGATGACAAAATCTGAAAGGTAAATATCTTAGAAGCAATCAAGATTCTTAATATGTTGGGCTCATTCTTACTGGAAAAATAATTATATAGTTACCTTAACTGTGAGCTGTTTGAAGCGACCAGTTTGAGCACTATTGACTATTTTTTTCAGGCTCTGAATAGCTGTAGGGATCTCAGCAGGGGTTGGAGGAACCAGCTCCACCTTGGCATAGTGCCAAAATGTGGCCAATCGAGGCTTCGAGTAAGTCACAGCAGCTGGAAGACAAAACAAAACAAAAAACCCAGGATGAACTCACTAGAGACCGAAAGAAGCAGATGTGTGGGCTGAACACAAATATTTATTCATGCATCACATTCATTCACTGCTTGTACCAAATGTGCATCCAGTGTGAAAAGTCAAAGCTGCTCCCCGGTAACAAGAGGCTTTTAAAGATGCAGAACACCTGTGTCACAGGGGAAGTTCAATCAGGCAGGAAGCCTATAAGCACATTCAATTATGCCAGGTCTTTGCTAGTGGCCAGCTAGTACTGTTACTTCATTTATGAATGGCAAATCCAGTTAACTGTAAAGTTACCAGAAGCTGGATAAAAAAGAAGAAAACAGCAGTCATTTAATTTTCTGGATGAAGAAATCAGGTAATTTGGAGGCAACAGGTGAAGAAGGAAGATACTATGTAAAATGGTATCTTTCAGATTAAAACTCGTCAAAATTTTGGCCACAAATCCAGAAGGAATTATACCAATTAGTATCCATTTTTTGTATACTCATTGATCTAGACTGGATTAAACCTTTCTTTAACAAAAGCACAGCTGCTCCTCCTTCAGGGATACAAAAATAATAAAAGTAAAGAACAAGATGGTTGTCAGAAGAGACTCTGAATATTGCACTAGAGCTCTGAGCAGCCAGAGCAAAGGGAAGAAATCAAGATATTAAGTAGCAGAACAGATGATTTCAAAGGGCAGCACGAGAATACAAAGTAAAGTATTATAATGAAATGTGCAAATATATGGAGTCAGAAAATCCAAAGGGCCGATCTCTCTTAAGTTTTCTTAAACTGAAGAACAAATTCAGGCCTCAAGATGCAATACTTAAGGATGCTTTGGGCAGAATACGAAATGATCCAGGAAGCATTTAAAGATGGAAAGAGTATACAGTCATTGTACCAAAAGGAATTGGCTGACACAGAAAAATTTCATAAAACAACATATGAGCAAGAGCCTTGTGGTGATGAAGTTCAAGTTGTTCTGAAAGAACTGGCAAAAAACAAGGCCCCAGATATTGATGGCACACAAATGGACATATTTCAACAAACAAACGCTGCCCAGGATGTGCTCACCAAGTCGTGCCAAGAAATCTGGAGGACAACCACCTGGTCAACACTCTGGAAGAGATCTATATTTGTTCCCATTCCAAAGAAAGGTGATGTGCTCACCAAGTTGTGCCAAAAAATCTGGAGGACAACCACCTGGTCAACTGGCTGGAAGAGATCTATATTTGTTCCCATGCCAAAGAAAGGTGACCTGACAGAGTGCTGAAATTATCAAACAATATCATTAATATCACATTCAAGCAAGATTCTGCTGAAGATTATCCAAAAACGAGTGGAGCAACACATCAACAGAGAAATTCCAGATGTGCAGGCTGTATTTAGAAGAGGCCGTGGAACTAGGGGTATTATGGGTCTTGGCAGAAAGCAGAAGAGTACCAGAGGAATGTCTATCTGTGTTTCATTGACTATGCAAAGGCATTTGACTGTGTGAATCACAATAAACTGTGGCTGACCCTGACAAGAATGGGAATCACGGTATACCTGTGCTTCTGTGAAACTTATACTTGGACCAGGAGGCAGTCATCAGAATTCAGCAAGGAACACAGCATGGTTCAAAACTGGGAAAGGTGTATGCCACGTGTCCTCTCTCCATATCTTTTCAATCTATATGCAAAACAGATTATCCAGGAGGCTGGGCTCTGAGGAGAAATGTGGTATCAGGACTGGAGGAAGACTCATCAACAACCATGGCACAACCCAGCTTGCTGAAACTGAGGACCTAAAGTGCTTGCTGCAGAGTATTGTTGAAAAACAGGTTAGCCAAAGTTCTTGATGCTTTTTGTTACTCATCATATTTGGCTATTTTATTACTTGTTGATTTATGATATAGTCCCTGGGTGGTGCAAGGTGCAAAGTTAAAATTCAGGACTACTCACCCAAATGCTGATGGTTTGAACTCAACCTGAGGTGGAGGAAAAGACAGGCCTGCTAACCTGCTTCTGAGAAGTCAGAGCCTAAAAAATCCTACGGAGCAGTTCTACATACACAGGCTGCATAGTTGGAAAACTCTCAGTGGCAACTAACGATAGATTTATTATACAACAACAGGCTCTGGAATCATATATCTTTAAGCACATCTAAAGCGCTAAAAGACAGCTCTATATCTGTGTGATTGCTGTTGTTAGGTGCCACCGAGTATGATTTATAAAGACCCTAAAAACAATGGATCTGAACTGTCCTATCCTGTGACATCCTCACACTTGTGGACACACTGGAGCCCACTGCAGCAGTCTCTGTGTCAATCCACCTGGGTGAGGGTTATCTTCTCTTTTCCCAACTTTCCACCTTCCCAAGTATGATTGTCCCCTCCAAGAAACAGCCTCTCCTAGCAACATGCCCAAAGTATGTGAGATGAAGCTTTATCATCTTTGCCTCCAAAGAGCACGAGACTCGTACTTTCTTCAAGACACATTTGTTTGTCTGGCAGTCTATGGGATATTCCATACTCTTCTCCAATACCACAGCCTGAAGGCATCAATTTTTCTTTTGTCATCCTTATTTCTGTCTATCAGATGCATAACAAGTGACTGGAAAGACCACGGCGACATACTACATACTACATATCAAAAGGATAGAACTGACAACCTGAAAGTACTCCGAATAGCCAATGCTGGGACAATGGAGTAATTAGAGCAAGGAAATAAGTAGCATAGTTTTGGATGCATGAAGTATGAAATAAATGCACATGACTCTACAATAAATGACTACATAAATGAGAAAGACAAAATTTTTTTGGGGGGGAAGAATTTACAAACACACATCCATACATAAGATACAATTGTTGTTGTTATGTTGTTATGTGCCGTCGAGTCGTTTCCGACTCATAGCGACCCTATGCACAACAGCCCTAAACCCTGCTCTATCCTGCGCCAACCGCACC